GCTCATTTTCGTTGAATGATGTATTGCATATTGGTCCAACGTTGCAATCTGACTTAATGTCAGTTATTTTAAATTGGCGTATATATAGATACGTTTTCAATGGAGATATCGAAAAAATGTATCGCCAAATATTAGTAACGGAAGCAGATTGTCCGTTTCAGAGAATTTTGTATAGAACAAAAACTTCAAGCAATATTGAAGATTACGAGCTGTTAACAGTCACTTTCGGAGTGAATTGTGCACCGTATTTAGCCATACGAACGTTGCTGCAGTTAGCAACAGATGTAGAGAGACAGTCTCCTTTGTCATCTCACATATTAAGACATGAAACATATGTCGATGATATTTTAGCTGGTGGACATACTTTGGCTTCAGCCCTAGAAGCGCAAAGTCAATTAATAAAGTCTTTAAAATCAGCTGGATTTCCACTTACAAAAATTACGGCAAATAATAGCAAATTATTAGAAAATATTCCAACTGAAGATATTTTAAGTGCAGACTTCTTAAAACTTTACGATTCGAGCTCTACGAAAACGTTAGGTATTCAGTGGAATGCATACAGTGATTCCTTTACTTATAAAGTCGAAATTCCCGATTTCGCATCAAAAGTAACAAAAAGAACAATTTTATCCGCGGTCGCTAAATTGTTTGACCCCGCAGGGTGGCTAACGCCCATTATTGTTCAAGCAAAGATCCTTCTACAGGAATTGTGGCAAGATGGGGTCGAATGGGATGAAGATGTGAAACCTCAGACTCTTTCAAGGTGGAACATTTTCTTAGAAGATTTTATACACATAAGATCCATTCAAATCCCCAGATGGATCCATTTCCATCCAGATAGCAAAATCCAGATCCATGGTTTCTGTGATGCATCTGAACAGGCCTATTGTGCAACAATATACATTCGAGTGGAAGATTTGTCTGGCAGACATTCTAATCTGCTAGTAGCGAAAAGCAAAGTTGCGCCGTTGCAACGTGTAAGTCTTCCTCGGTTAGAGTTATGTGGGGCATTACTGCTCTCGAAACTAATTAAACAAACTCTAACTAACAATTCATTTAAAAGTGCTCAACTTTTCCTGTGGTCAGATTCCACTATAGTATTAGCATGGTTACAAAAGCATCCATCAGTTTGGAAAACATATGTTGGCAATAGAACATCTCAAATCATTGAAAATGTTGGTAATGCTAAGTGGAACCACGTTTTAACCCATGAAAATCCAGCAGATCTTGGAACACGAGGTTGTAAACCACAAGATCTTAAAGAAAATCCTTTATGGTGGTATGGACCAATGTGGCTACTTGACTCCCAAGACAATTGGCCTTAATCTAACCCACCTGCCATAGCTCTTATGGAACAAAGGAAAGTTGAAGTTCACTGTTCCGTTACAGATGAACTCAATATAATACAAAGATTTTCTTCATATCGGCGAGCCCTCGCCGTAATAGCATATATTTATAGGTTCATACGTTCTACTAATAAAAGATTACAGAAAACTAAGTTTGAAAGTTTAACGCTCTCTCACGAAGAGCTTAATAACGCAAAAATTGTATATATTAGACTAACGCAGAAGTTTCATTATTCTGAAGATTTAAAGAATCTTTCGGATTCTAAGCATATTTCAAGGAAAAGCTCTCTGTTTAATCTAAATCCATTTCTCGACGCTCAAGGTCTTATGCGGGTTAATGGTAGATTAGCTAATGCCCCGCTTACGTACGATGAGCGATTTCCCATAATTATCCCTAACTCTTCTCAATTTTGCAAAATTTTTCTGGAGTTTGTCCACAAAACTCTAGTCCATGCTGACATAACCCTTATGATGAGCGCAGTAAGAAGCCAGTTCTATATTCCTGGTTTAAAAAGAACAGTCAAGAAATGCGTTCATCATTGTCTAACCTGTGTTCGTTACAAACAACAAGTGAAATCGCAAATAATGGCTGCACTGCCAAAAGAGAGATCCACTCTCTCATTACCGTTCTCACATACGGGTGTCGACTTTGCTGGTCCATTTCAGATCAAGTCTGGCAATTTGCGAAATTCACCATATATGAAAGGTTACGCATGTATCTTTGTAAGTTTTGCTACAAGAGCCATTCATTTAGAAGCTTGCTCTAGTTTAACATCAGAAGCATTTCTAGCTGCTTTTGCACGATTTATAGCTAGGCGAGGATTGCCAAAATCAGTTATGTCGGACAATGGTACAAATTTCATAGGCGCTAGTAAGCCATTGCTAAAGGAGTATTCGTTATTTCTTAAACAATCCTCCAAGGATATAACAGATAAATATGCAATTAATGGACTTGAGTGGAAGTTCATTCCACCTAGCGCCCCGCATATGGGAGGTTTATGGGAAGCTGGCGTTAAAAGCTTCAAAATCCACTTCAGGAAAATTGCAGGCGCACATAAATTTAATTTTGAAGAGTTCTCTACTCTGCTTGCGCGAATAGAAAGTGTTCTAAATTCACGACCAATATCACCGATGTCAGAAGACCCAGATGACCTGCAGGCCCTTACTCCGAGTCATTTTCTGCGCGGTGCACCTTTGGTATTCGCGTCAGAAATACCTCCTGACAATTTGTCGTTATTGAATCGCTGGGAACGACTGAAAGCACTCCATCATAAATTTGGTCAACGATGGAAAAATGAGTACCTTCAGGAGCTACACAAGAGGTACAAATGGCAGAATCCACGACGGGATCTACAGACTGGTGATTTCGTTATCATCAAGGATGAGCTTCTTTCTCCATGCGACTGGAGGTTAGGCAGAATAGAAGCCGTACACGTTGGTCGGGATAAGCGCGTAAGAGTCGCTGATGTTAGAACATCTAGTGGCGTCGTGACCCGACCAATAGTAAAATTATGCATGCTCCCGTTATGTGAAAAGTCTGTAGATTAGTTTGTTCTTGTCCATACAATGTCGTGTCTATGTGTCCAAAGCTATCTTTTTCGACCTTAATCTGCCTCTGTTCTTTGTATTTTAATCTCATTCCAGAATGGATCCAGCCCAAAACCCAGAGTTGTGCGTTGTGTGTTTTGCATATCACCCATTGAGATATTGCAAGATGTTCCGTAAGTTGACATTGGAGCAACGACTTTATGTGGTGAGAACCCATAAGTATTGCTCCAATTGCTTCTCGCGGACTCATCTGATAGGTAGCTGTATCTCAATGGGTGCATGCCAAATATGTTGCGATTTGCACCACACATTGCTGCACCCAAGGACTGCTGCTCAGGGGCCAAGGCAAGGACAACCACGACAGCTACGCCAACGCGCTCGCAGAAGCCTCCCCAACCCTCCTCAACAGAGAGCTCAACAGCGGTTGGATGACCTCCGTCAACGCCTACAACAACAGCAGCAGGTTATCCAACAGCAACAACAACAGCTACAGCAGCAACAACGCCAACGACAACAACGGCAACGACAACAACTACAGCAACAATTTCAGCGGCAGCCACAACGTCGCCAACAGCAACTGCCCCGAACCCAACAACGACAGCGCCAACAACTTCAACCACAAGCCATAGCCGTTCCTCAGCCTGCGGCAGCGCCAGCCTCAACCCAGGGGCTGGTCAATCAAATTGTTTCAGCCCTCAGCCAGCTGACAGGGTCCACAATTGCACCAGTGCAAGTTGGCCGGCATGTCGAAGTCCGGTTAGGCCGCGTTGAAGACGATTTGATCGATCTCCATGACGATCTTATCGACTTCGACGACGGCCTTACCGACCTTGACTGAAGGTCTCCAAACACTTCCTAAAGGCAATATTTTAGGAAGTGTTACGAGGAAGCCGGGCTTGGCGCCGAAGAAGATCGACTAATTTTTATTAAAAAACAAAACCGAACGACTCCCGGTCATAGTGGTGTTTTTAAATTCAAAAAAAAAAAATAATAAAAACAACGCACTCCCGGTGCTTCAATTATTTGAAAAAACAAAAAAAAAAGTGTTTCAATTCCCACCAACCAACACGTAAGTAGAAATAAAATTCTCTATTTTATTTGTGTGCATAGTTCAATTCTGTTATTGAACAACTTTGTTAATTTCTTAACAAAGTAAAAACAAAAGCAACAAATCTCCAAAATAAGAGTTGGAATTTGTTTAATGTCATTCGAATGAATTCAAATAACCAGAAAGAAGTTATAATGGCCGTTTTAGGAATGTCGCTCTCTTCAACTGGTATTTGAAAATATGCTTTAACCAAGTCGATTTTAGAAAATATTTTCTTACCGACAAGCATATATGCGAAATCTTGAATATGTGGAACGGGATAACGGTCTGGAACATTTACTTTGTTGAGAGCCCTGTAATCCCCACAGGGCCGCCACATATCGTTACCTTTTGGCACCATATGAAGGGGACTGGACCACGAACTTTTGAATGGTCGACAAATACCAAGATTTAGCATGTACTCAAACTCTTGTGTAGCAATTTTTAATTTTTCTGGAGACAATCTACGTGCTTTGGCATACACCTGTGACCCAGTTGTCTCAATGTGATGAGTTACTGCATGTTTAACTGGCGGCAGTTTATCGCTAGGTATTGTGACATCAACGAATTCCTTAAGGATTGATTGAAACTTACCAGAATCATATGAAACGCTTTTCAAAGTGAAATCTTGAGGCTTTGAACAAATGCCAGTCGTTTTCAGATTTGTTGATGAATCTACTAAGCAGTTATTTTTGACATCAACTAGCAGTCCATAGTGTTTAAGAAAGTCTGATCCTATTATTGGGCGTGTTACGTCAGCCACAACAAATGACCAGAGGAATCTTCGTCGTAGACCAATATTGCAGTTGATAACTTTTTTACCATATGTTCGAATTGTTGTTTTGTTGGCAGCATAAAGAATAAATGAGTTTGGGGTTTTGATTTTTCTTCGTCTGTGGCAGGATATACGGATAAGTCTGCCCCGGTGTCAATAAGGTACCTGAAATTCGACTCAATGTCTTGAATGAACAGGCGACTTATTTGTTGGCTAACTTCACCCGTCACCATAGGTGAAGTGCCTAGTTATTTTCCGATGATTTTAATGAACATGGTGGGCGACATTTTGTAGCTCTAGAACCAAATCTATGATGATAACAACAAAATGTTTTTTCAGAAGGAGAACGAGTTCGATTTCTTGGCAAATTTCTCGAAGAACTTCTATTGCGGCGACGATTACCGATTGAAAGTGCATCTAATTTGGAAAATATCTCTTGAATTGTATTTTCAAGGTTAGAAATTCTTTCATCATTATCTGCAGAAACAGCGCTGATTGATATTGCCGAATCATTCTGGTCATGGATCTTATCGGCTATTAAACATAGTTTATCAATTGTATCATTACTAACCGATAAAATAGCTTTTGTCGTAGATGGAAGACGTTGAATCCATAATGTCATGAGCAATTCTTCCGAAACTTTGGCAGAAGCCAGCGTACGCATTTCACGTAGAAGTGTGGATTGTTTTTTATCGCCAACACTTACGTTTTCCAGAAGTTGACGCAGTCTTTTCTCTTCCGATTCAATAAACTCATCTAATATGGAACATTTAAGAGCTTCATATTTGTTTTCAGCGGGGCGCTTCCACAATATGATTAACATGGTTGAGGATGTTGCTCTCGATTGATCCAACCAATGTGTGGTATTTTGCATCTGCAGTAATTCCGGAAGTTACAAATTGGGATTCCAGCTGGCGAAACCATAGCTTGGGATTTTGACGCCAAAAAGGAGGTACACGTACAGTAACACGGGAAACTTCGGAGGGAATTAAAGATGAGGCAGATCCGAAATCTTCTGAAGTGGACATTTTTTTAATTAATTTAAATTATTGTCGTAGGTCACCAATGTTGTTGTGATTATTTCAAAAGTTTAAATCTAATTAATTTATTTTTCAAAAAATCAAAAATACAAAAAACAAAAATGTAAAATGTAAAATAAAAGAAATGAAAACTTAATTATTTTTAAAACAAAATTTCAAAGTGTTAATACTTCAAGTATCACCACAAAATCTTTGTTTCAAGAAATTCAGCTGTTTCGAAATTGCATTATTTTGTGAAATATTTCACAATTCGGTTGACTTCTAGATAAATTCGTTGACAAAATCAGAAAAATATACTAAAAATTCAAAGATTTCACACAACCTTTCTCAAACATGTCAACCGTATAGGACATTTTGTGAAATTTCTTATATTTAAAATTTTTCACTAATTGAAAAATCTTTTCTAGAAAATCAAATGTTTAGTAAATTTTCAAAATTATGTGAAATTATCCTTTCGTTGAGAAAGGAGAAAAAATTTCCTAAAAATCTAAAGTTTTAGTGAAAATTTTCATAAAGGATTGCAGATATTTCTATTTTTTATAGAGTTTTCATGAAATCTTTGGTGTTTTTGAATTTTTAACTAATTGGAAGACTGTTTCTAGAAAATCAACTGTTCAGTTAATTGCAAGATTGTCTTAAATATTTCTTTTCTATGAAAGAATTGGAAAACTGCCTTCAAAATCAAAGTTTTTAGAAAACCTCAACAAAGATAGACTTTCTAGATAAAATCGTTGACAAAATCAGACAAATATCCTAAAAATTCAAAGATTTCACAAAACTTTTCCCAAATAAGTCAACCGTATAGGGCATTTTGTGAAATTTCTTATTTTTAAAATTTTAACTATTTGAAAACTGTTTCTAGAAACTGAAATGTTTAGCAAATGTCAAGATTTTGTGAAATGTCCTAAAAATCAATGTTTTCGAAAACATCAAAAGATTACTGTAAAGTTTCGGTGAAATTTTTCATAAGGAATTGCAGATATTTCTACTTTTTATAGGGTTTTCATGAAATCTTTGGATTTTTCTAGAAAATCAACTCTTCAGTAATTGAAAGATTTTGTGAAATATTTCATTTCGATGAGAGAATTGGAAAAATGCCTTCAAAATCAAAGTTTTCACAAAACCTCAAGAAAGATTGACTTTCTAGATAAAATCGTTGACAATATCAGACAAATATCCTAAAAAATCAAAGATTTCACAAAACTTTTCCCAAACAAGTCAACCGTATAGTGCATTTTGTGAAATTTCTTATTTTTAAAATTTTTAACTTATTGGAAAACTGTTTTTAGAAAACTAAATGTGTAGTAAATTTCAAGATTTTGTGAAATGTCCTAAAAATCAAAGTTTTCACAAAACCTCATAAGATTACTGTAAAGTTTTCATGAAAAATGTCCTAAGAAATCAAAGTTATCACAAAACTTTGGGAAAATTGGAAAAATATGCAAAGATTTCAAAAAACCGTTCTCAAGAAATAAGAGAGTGTAGGCATTTTGCGTATTTTCTTAAGCGAATACATAATTTTTCGTAGTGTTCTAGAGATTTTAAGAAGATAGTAATATTTCACTTACGGAAAATTAGAAAATTATACTAAAAAATCAAAGATTTTGTCGTGTGCACCCTGTAGTAGGGCAAAATTTAAAAAGAAGAAGACGAAAAGAGAAGTTGGCAACGCGGCTGTACATACTAACTGACAGCTGGAAAATGTAAACAAAAACAAAACTATAATGTAAAAAAACTATACGGTTTAGATAAATGGCTGAAATGGTGTTAAATTGATGGGAACCATATTGGTAACCGAGGTTTCTCGTTACCAAAAAAGTAAGATGTCGGCCTTTTCATTTTTCCCTGCCCAAGACGAAGGTGGAGCCCGTGGCCGTCAGAGAAAAAAAATCTTCATTTAAATTAAATAATTCTTTTTTTTTATTCATAAAAGTTTTAAACTAAATTAAATCAATCTTAAAGCTAAATAAAGCGAGAAACATAATACTAAAGCAGCAACTCTGAGTCACGCCATCGCCAGCTCCATCCAGCGTGGGACTACTCTAGCAGATCCGCACCAACAGTCCTATGGTGTCCAGGTATTAAGGTTTTCGACATAAGTGTACCTCTTACCCGAACGACAGGACGAACAGAACCAGTCCTTTTAGATAATTTCTATATATTAAAAAAATAAAAAAAATTTAGTAACCAAAAAAAGAAAAGCTATATATTTGTTTGTAGGCATACCTTTCGTTCGCTCGAAGCCAGTCCGCTGGTTAAAATTGAACCAGGCGTGCGCGTAAGGATAGGATTGAGCTCAGGCCTAGTTAAGAACAATCCCGCGGTAGATTTGAACTCATAGGTTGCCGGAAACCAGTATCTACAAAAAAAAACAAATTATTTAAAAGGTTATTATAATATATTATTCAATACTTACCTGAAATACCCGAACAAACTAATACTGACGGACAGAAAACCTGCACGTTCACCACCTGTCGTCAATAACCATTGATCCTTGGGAGATTAGTCCAGTCTATTGCGAACCTGGAAGTTTTTTTATTCATAAAAGTTTTAAACTAAATTAAATCAATCTTAAAGCTAAATAAAGCGAGAAACATAATACTAAAGCAGCAACTCTGAGTCACGCCATCGCCAGCTCCATCCAGCGTGGGACTACTCTAGCAGATCCGCACCAACAGTCCTATGGTGTCCAGGTATTAAGGTTTTCGACATAAGTGTACCTCTTACCCGAACGACAGGACGAACAGAACCAGTCCTTTTAGATAATTTCTATATATTAAAAAAATAAAAAAAATTTAGTAAACAAAAAAAGAAAAGCTATATATTTGTTTGTAGGCATACCTTTCGTTAGTTGCTCGAAGCCAGTCCGCTGGTTAAAATTGAACCAGGCGTGCGCGTAAGGATAGGATTGAGCTCAGGCCTAGTTAAGAACAATCCCGCGGTAGATTTGAACTCATAGGTTGCCGGAAACCAGTATATACAAAAAAAAACAAATTATTTAAAAGGTTATTATAATATATTATTCAATACTTACCTGAAATACACGAACAAACTAATACTGACGGACAGAAAACCTGCACGTTCACCACCTGTCGTCAATAACCATTGATCCTTGGGAGATTAGTCCAGTCTATTGCGAACCTGGAAGTGAAAGGGGAATTTAAATTAGAAAAAAAAGAAGAAAAAGAAAAACTCGAAGTAAATGTAAAAACTTAAATTAAACTTAAAATCTAAAAATTTGAGTAAATCTTAAAATCTAAAAGCTAAAATCCTAAAAACTAAATTTTGTTAAAACTTAAAAACTAAATCTTGTTAAAACTTAAAAACTAAATTTTGTTAAAACTTAAAAAACTAAATTTTGTTAAAACTTAAAAACTAAAGTTTATTAAAATCTTAAAACTAAAAACTAAATTTGCTAAAACCTAAATTTGCCTAATTATTAAAAACTTAATTTGTTAATAATTATCATCTGAAGTTGGATTATTAAAAATTTGCTAATATTTTAAAATTTTTCTAAAACTCAAATTCTAAATTTCGATGAGACATTGTTAATTTTTTTTTATAATAAACAGAAACCTTTATAATGTTTAAATGAAAATTTAAGTTTGTTATCATTAATATGATGTGGTAAATTTCTAATAATCGGCGGTAAGTAGGGTGACTAAATGTTTGCAGGGAAGAGCTTGGACGTCGTATTGTGTATAGGTATGACCGTAGGGAGATGCAGGACTACTTTTGGCCCCTTTTCTAATAATACCCCAAATGCTGGTATGAATTTTTGTGTTAGTGTGTGTTTGTGGTCCAGATTGCCGGCAAGAACCACCCCATCCGGCGAGCTTTAGCCGCGCAATACGCGGGCATACCAGCGCCGCTAGCAATCTGGCCGCTCTGTTCCTTTTTGTCTTTATGTTGTCTGTTTGTTTATTTAAACAAACAGCTGACACGACACACCACTACATAAATGGCGCCCAACGTGGGGCCCGAAGTAGGTCCATAGACCAATTTATAGGAACTATCATTTCCCTGAAGTCTGCGTAGGCCGGTTAGGTTAATAAGAGTCCCTAGCTGTAGCTACGTAGGCGGACGGGATTGTATTGACATTTTTAATTTTTTTTTTCTTCCTTTTAGTTTCAATAGGTATGCATCCCTAATTGCGCATGACACCTATTGTTCTCACAGATGTAAGTCCCGGTCTCGAGGACTAAAGAGTCCCGATCGCGTTGCGACATCTGGTGTGGGCAATAGGGTCATGCAGAATTCTGGATTCATCCGTTGCCATCCTTTCCTAACAACTTGAGGCTTAGAGATAATAGACACAGTTTATTCTCTAAATGCTCAAGTTGGAAGGAAGGATAGCGACAACTTCCCTTTAGATTACAATAACCCTAAACTAGTTGTCTTAATGTAAAAATACTTACGTTTTAGTTCTGCAGGAGGTCTAGGAAGGTAGTCCTTGATTACTAGGAGAACGTAACCCTGGTCAAGTTGCACCTCATTAGTACGTACGTAGAAAGACAGTTGGTTCTTGTCCATCCTTTTGTTGTTTTGTTATTTGTTAGTACTCTGCATCTCCTGAAACCAGAATAGGAAAAAGAATTAGGTCATATCTATACACAAATCAGCAATGTAAATTACGAAATCTTACCTGCAAACTTTTATTTACCCGAAAATGCCGCCAGCATTCAAGTTATTTGAGTTTTTTAATTTTTCATTTTTATTTTTTGTGAAAGGTCGAAAATCTTTTAGTTTTATATTTTCTTCTATACCTACGCTGCGAAAGATTCTGTACCACGAACCTTTTTTTTAATATAAATATATACAAGCCTTTTTGCAATAGTGAATTTTACATTAATTTTATTTGTTTTTAATGGTGTTGACTCGTCGTGCAAGTCGTTTAATAGGGCAAGATAACGCTATGGCCACGACTGGAAGCAGTGTCACTTGTGGTATCGACACCTTAACCACCACATCTATCACGACATCCACCGTTCCCACAACCAATACAACCACAGCTACAACTTCAACCAGCGACTCCAATCCACTGATTAGTGCCCAAACATCCCATGATCTGTCCATTAGTTCTGACGGGGCAAATCAGACGGTAGTGTCCCCGACATTCATCAGCGAAACAGCGCAGAACATACGTAGAGAGGTGAGAGAGAGTATGGCTGGCCAAGGAATGGAGAATTCCATCCATGTTAATGACATCCAGAATATAGTGGATGCTTCGGTGGGGTTGCGCCAAGTTCAATTTATGAAGGAGGTCGACAACAAAATACAAAAAGTATTAGATGACATGAAGCAGCTGTTTTTGTCGCTGTCGATGAGTAATGCGGCTCCAGTGCCTACCGAGATGTCCCCTATCGGCCAAGGAATGCCGACTACACAGCCTCTCAGAACCTCTTTGGAGGCACGGCCATCGGGATATGGTCAACCAGCAACGCCGCTTGGCCCGCCAACTTACCAGCAGCCACCACCGCTGATTCCAGCTCCAAATTATGTGCCCGTGGGTCCAGCAGCGCCGAGAATAGTAGAGGCTAACATCCAACCGCCTCCAGTACAGACACAATACCAGCAGCAGCAGTCGCTGCTTCAGCAACAAAATCCTCTGCCGCTTATCCAGCAGCCGGCGGCGTGTTACAGTCAGCCGCATCAACTTTGGTCGCAGGGAAACCCCCAGAATCTACCGCCAGCGCAACAGCCTAACCAGCCACAACCACAAAACCAGTTGCCGTACGTCCATCCGTCAGCTCACGCTTTCAGTCAGCAACAGCAACTATGGCCGTAGCCACCGCAAGGTCCACAGGCCAATTTCCAACGGCAAAGTGCATCCCAGGCTGGGTATCCACAGGATACTTGGTCGGGGCCACCCGCTCAGCAACCGCCACCGCCTTTAAACTACAACTTGGCAATGTCCATGCCAAGACCTCAAGAGCCCTGGGATAAGTTTAAATTAGCCAAATGGGGTGTTAGATTTGATGGGACCAGCAAAACTATGAATGTCCAAGAATTCATTTTTAGAGTTGGAGCGTTGAGGAGGGATTACGGATGCTCTGATGATGAAATCCTGAGGAGTTTCCATATCCTTCTAGACGGCCCCGCTCTAGACTGGTACTGGGATTACCGGAAGATTGTCCACATTAATACCTGGGAGGAGTTGGAGAAAGCCCTGCTTGCACAATACCGTCGTTTCGAACAAGAGCACGAAATACAAATGAAGATTCTCAATCGCCGTCAGTTACCGCAAGAGGCTTTTGATGATTATTACAATGCGGTCATAAAGCTCCAAAACCAGCAGCAGCACCCATATGCGGAGGAGCAACTGGTAGAAATCATGCCAGGGAATTTAAAACCATCATTAGCTCAAATGATGTTCTCGATTCGCCTTAAAACTTTGTCCGAGTTTTGTCGGGAGGTGAGGCGGGCAGAGAATCTAATCGCTAACCAAAGACAACTGTACCAGCGAGCTAATGTTACCCCTAGGGTGAATGAACTGGTTTGTGAGGAGAGGATTTGTCGCTG